GACCAATCGTCTTCCATGAAGGTCTGGATCTGGTGTCCTTTTTGTATGCCATTAGTTCTTGATCTTCAGCACCAGTCCAAGGACGAATGCTACAGTGAGGGGGGCGTCGATCCAGCGGTGCTATGGTTTGTGTGGTGACAGGTGGAACTGGTGGATTTGACTTGGCGACTGGTGGATTGGATGCAGTGTCAGTAACTGCAGTGGGCACCCCACCGCCAGCTCCAGATGCTGTGGGCCACACTTGGACCCGAACACGTGCCAGACAGAATGTCAGAATATATGTCAGAGAGGATGCCGGATAGAATGCCAGACAGAATGTCGTCAGAATATATGTCAGAAAGAATGCCAGAAAGAATGCCAGACAGAAAGTCATAGTATATGTCAGAGAGAATGCCGGATAGAATCCCAGACAGAATGTAAGAATATATGTCGAAGAGTATAGAATGTCAGAATATAAAATGTCAGATAGATGTCAGAGTATATGCCAAAAAAGAATATCAAATAGAATGTCAGGATGTATCTATCTATCTATCTATCTATCTATCTACCTATCTATCTATCTATCTATCTATCTATCTATGTATCTATCTATCTATCTATCTACCTATCTACCTATCTATCTATCTATCTATCCATCTATCCATCCATCCATCCATCTATCCATCTATCCATCTATCCATCTATCCATCTATCCATCTATCCATCTATCCATCTATCTATCCATCTATCCATCTATCCATCTATCCATCTATCTATCCATCTATCCACCTATCCATTTATCTATCTATCTATCTATCTATCTATCTATCTATCTATCTATCTATCTATCTATCTATCTATCCACCTATCTATCTATCTATGTATCTATGTATCTATGTATCTTTCTATGTATCTATCTATCTATCTATCTACCTATCTATCTATCTATCTATCTATGTATCTATCTATGTATCTATCTATCTATCTACCTATCTACCTATCTATCTATCTATCTATCCATCTATCCATCCATCCATCCATCTATCTATCCATCTATCCATCTATCCATCTATCCATCTATCCATCTATCCATCTATCCATCTATCCATCTATCCATCTATCCATCTATCCATCTATCCATCTATCAATCTATCAATCAATCTATCTATCTATCTATGTATGTATCTATCTATGTATGTATGTATCTATCTATCTATCTATGTATGTATGCATGTATCTATGTATCTTTGTATCTATGTATTTATGTATCTTGTATCTATGTATCTATGTATCTATGTATCTATGTATCTATGTATCTATGTATGGCATGACATGGCATGGCATGGCATGGTATGAATGTATGTATGTGTATGTATCTACGTACGTACGTACGTACGTATGTAATGGTATGGTATGGTTTTGTATCGTATGGCATGGCATCGCATAGCATAGCATAGCATAGTATAGTATATGTATGTGCCATATGTTTCCTATATGTTTCCTATACGTTTCCAGATGATATGTCAGAAACTATGTCAGAATAGTGTGTCAGGATGGGGATCACTCGAAGTAAAGTAATTTCAGTTTTTGACAAAATATTTGAAGTTGCTGTGCTGGCACATCGGTAACGAGGCTCAAACCAGGTTGTGTTGCAGAACCTGTCGCAGGTGCCATGGCCGGGGCACTGCTACCCAAAAGCAACGCCAAAAATGATGGGGACTGGGTTCCCAAAAGGTCGTCGTCTATATGTGTCTGCGTTGCAAATATGACAGGGAAGTGGTTCTTTTCGTCAATGACTTTACAGCCCAGTTTATTTTTCAATGAATTACAGAGCAAAGGAAAACTTGGGTTATTTATATTGATTTTTACCTTCCAAAGCACCTCCAATGTCTTCCAGTCTTGATCCGAAAGGGTCAGGAAATCGTTTCTTCGGGAAAATCGCGGCAGCTCGGTAATTTCTATCCGACTTCATTCAAGTCCTGACTGTCAACATGAGTTTGATATGAAGCGTCTCTACCCTGAGGGACCTTCGTAATTTAAGTTCCTGGGTTCCGATCCTGAAGCGTGTCCATTCTCAGCGTTCGTCATCTCCGGTTGCACCATGGAAATTTAACATATATGGCAGTTTCCTGAAATGGGGCTACCCCTAAATCATCCAAGTCATGGATAACAATTTTAGTATTGAAACAACCATGGTGATGACTGGGGATCCCCCATGACTTAAGAAACAGCTGCTCAAAGAGATGGTGTCCAGTCGATGTCCTGCATCGAGATTGGCAGGGCATGGTGACCTGAAAATGATTTCTTCCACATTCTGGTATGGCCACTAAAAAAATCCTGCAAGAAGAAATAGTAGTTGCATAGGAGCAAGAGCATGGGAGTAACAATCCTCACATCCTACCTTTAGTACTCTTTAGTTTGCATTTTTCTGATAAAAACAATGGATAGTAGTTACATAGGGGTAAGGTTGGACCCACCTCCCCACAACATTTACGATGTGCGGTCTTTTCAGCGCTCCTTAGGCGCTCCTTTTCTGCTGGTCTTTCTGGGCACGAACTACCTGCGATTGATGATTCAACGGCTCCATTTCGACTTGGGAAGGCTGACTGCAAAAGGAACGCGCAGAAGCTTGAGCTGATCTTGCTCTAAACTACCGCCCGCAAATCCGAACCGGTCTGGGTGTGCGAAAGATGATTTAGGAAATGAAAATTATCGCTGTCATAATCATCTGAACTACCGCCCGCAAATCCGAACCGGTCTGGGTGTGCGAAAGATGAATTAGGAAATTGAAAATCACTGTCATAATCATCTGAATTACCGCCCGCAAATCCGAACCGGTCTGGGCGTGCGAGAGAATCTGAACTAACTCTCTCGCGCTCCCGGGCCGGTCTGGATGTGCGAGAGGACAGTAGCAAATCGCTACTGTCTTCTCGCGCGGCCGGGCCGGTCTGGGTGTGTGAGAGCGCAGTAGCAAATCGTGAGAAGATAGTATAAATCTTCAAAGGTAGCATCGTCTCGCGAATCGCTACTGTTCTCTCGCGACTCCGGGCCGGTCTGGCTGTGCGAGAGGACAGTAGCAATTTGCTACTATCCTCTCGCGAACCAAATGTAGGATAGCACTTCAAATGACTTCTGTTGACCCGCAGTCGTTTGGTTCGAATACTCCTGAACATACTTCAACCAACAGGCTACTTATTTCATCCATTTTACCCATTCCAACTTACTAAGCAAACAGCTATTTGATACCCCTCAAGTACGGAAATCACGTAAAATAACTTTGAAACGTTTCTACCCACAAACACTCTCACACACACATAGGCTCTCAAGCGTGGCCATGTCCGTGTCAAGGGCACGAAGATGGTTCCAGAGAAGAGCGGCCCAAGAGCTACCCACGACTGTTTTGGAAGAGCACATAGAGAAACTCAAAGGCTTTGTCAAGGAGCATAAAGACAAGTGCCGGCCCAAGCCGATGCCTGAAGGTAAGCTTCGAATCTTTACAGATTGCGCAGGACTTTCATCCGAGACAGTGGCGCTGTCCTTGCTGGGTCTCTGCTCTTCACACATGGAGGTGGTGGGTGGCTCTGAAATTGATGCTGTGAAGCGTTGCTTACTGCAATCGGTGCACAAGACATGTAAGCAAAGCACCTGCAAGGAGGCACTGGAGCACGACATCTTCAACCGCAATATTTTGAGCACTCCTGGATGTGATTTATATATCGCGGGCTTTCCATGTCCGGCTTATAGCAACTGTGGTGTCAAGAAGGGCGCACAAGATGGCAAAGGACGAGGATTACTGATCTTTGAAGGTCTCAAATATATCGCGCTCAGGAAGCCTTCTATAGTGATCTTGGAACAAGTGCTAGGTTTCTTACACCAACGACATGCCAGAACCCATCAGGTCATGAAAAAGACTTTCAAGGCTTTGGGCTACAAGGTATACTTGAAAAAACAAACTCAAAGGAGCATGGCGTTCCTCAAAGCCGACAGCGGTGCTACATCGTTGCTTTCAGGGACAAGAGAACATCGTTCCGCTTTCCCAAGCCATTGAAGAAGCCGCGGCTCAGCAAATTTCTCGATGATTACACTGGAGATGAGACGCTCGACCTCTCGTCCTTCGAGCAGAAGTATGGCAGTGAAATTTGGAAAGAGAATGTTGTGCTAGACATAGGTTCCAGTCCCGCATGGCAAGGCAAAATGGTCGATGCGTGCCCGTGCTTGATCCGTAGTCGTTGCTTGCAGAGGGGTTACTATCTTCCGCAGAAGCGCCGTCGTCTGACAGGCGCTGAATGCGCCCGGCTACAAGGAGTCCCCACGAAGATCTATGACAACATGGTGGCCTTCTTGATGAGAAAGATATCGAAATACTCCGATCCAGATTTGGCAGAGAAGCAAGTCATGGGAGCCTTGGGTGACAGCATGTCTGTCAATATTTTGATGCGTGTTCTACCACGGGCGTTTGAAGCTGCACATCTGAGGCCTGGTGGTATCACTCTGAAAGATCCGTGGCCCAAAGGTGTGGCTGAAAACACATCGCACACTTTGGCTGACCGTCTCTTTGCGAAGATGAGCTGAGAAAAAGAAAGCGTCTTCGTTCTCGGGGCGCTTTTGCCTTGTTAGGCACGGCGGCTTGTGGCCGACTGTGCGCGGCGGCTTTTTGACCGACTGTGCACGGCGGCCTTCGGCCGACTGTGTTTGCAGCGGCGGTCTCAAACATGCCGACTGCTACACGGCGGCGCTTCGCCGACTGTCAAGTAGAGGCGGCTTTCACACCGGCTGTGCACATTTTTTCCAATAAATTTGGAGATTTCAATTCGTCATTCTTACAACTCTGTTTTGACTTCTCATAATTTGACCGCAAGTTAGAATAACCATCATGGTTTTAATGTTTATAAATAATAATATAGCGCTTCTGGGAGAAACTTGCCTGTCCTGTTTGCAATCACGCTGTCTCAAGTCATTTTCCTTTTCCTGCAGACGTCTTTGCCACTTCAAGCTCCTGAGTCCGCCTGTCCCTTGGAGCCATGCCGACCAAGCACCCGTCCGCTTGGAGGCTGAACAAAGCGGAGGAGAAATCCGTGGACAGCGACCTTGCTGTTTGGGAAGCAAGCCAGCCTCAAGACTTGAGCCAGGAAGAGTTGCAGCTGAAGCGGGCTGAGGAGAAGAAACGCCTGGTGCGAGTGATCCAGGAGGCCAAGCACCAAGCTTCCTTGAATAAGCAACAGACTGCTGGAGCAAGGGTCAAAGCTGCAGCTAGTAAGGCAAGTTCGCCAGCTGGCGCATCCACGGCCCCACAAGTTCCTGGAACTGGAGATGGTTCTACTTGCAACGGCGACTACTTTGAGTCCCTCAAGCAAGACCTCGCTGTAATCGAGAAAGCTCTGGGTTCCAAGCTGAAGGAGCAGATGCCGACTCCAATTGCAGCGATGGTTGGTGAGAAGACAGGCGTGCAGGACAGCCACTCCAGGGTTTCAAACAAAGTTTGTCATCGTTTTTGTTTTCCGCTTCGGATTCACCATTGCTGTGTCTATACATCCAGGACGAATATAAGTTAGACAAGGCCCGGGTAGCTCTGGAAGCCCACGGCACGTACATCTGCAGTTGCAACTTGTACTGGCTGGACGGCTGGAAGTCCCCAGCGCCAGGAGTACCACTCAGCCGAGCCCGCGTCCAGCAACTGGCTTCCTTCTACTTTCCTCCCGAGCGGAACAACAACTTCTTTCAGAGGTTGCTGGAAGTTCAAGTGAGTGTGGCCTCCTTGACAGACAAGCCCACTGGTCTTGTAGTGATTTCTCCTCTGGAAATCATCCACGCCATCTTCTTGAAGGCAGCCGAGGAGCTTGGTCAGCCAGGCGTGACAGCCGCTTGCAAAGCAGCTTGGACCGAAGCCCTGACTCTTGGCCACGCACAGTTCTATTTTTTTTGCACCCATAGTCACGAATTAATTAATAATTCAATGTTTATTTCTTTCTTGTAATCTGCCATTCCCAGGACAGCTGTGCCGGTTGTCATGGTTGAGGTGCCGGAAAGCGATGTCTGGGTGCACGCGCTGAACCGCCGCCAGCTCGTTCAGCAAGAACACGAGTCTCTGACAAGGACAGCGTGGCAAAACGCGGCCGAGTTGTACCACTTGCAGGCTCTCAGTTGTGAAATCGTATGTAAAAACAAACCATAAGCATGAATCGTCATATCACATATCAGGATGACATTTTAAATGACTAATCATGATGATAGTTTTCACGATTTAAATCCATTTTCCTCATCATGTACTCTTCAATTCACACCCATCCATTCCATCCATATTGCAGGCTTTGATGGAAAAGATGGAAGGCCGCAAACTCACAGAAGCGGAGGTTGTCCAGTTGCTCAAGACCAAGCACCTTATGACCGCTCAGAAAGGCCAGTCGCCTATGGACAACTCGAACTATTGCGAATGGAATTTCACAGCTGCGAAGACGATCTTCACGAAGCTCCACTCGGACCAAGTCATTAGCGACATTGTCCAGAAGCAAGATGCTTTGAAAGCCTCTAACTCTTGTTTCAACAGCATGGTGAAGTTGGAGAAGCTCGCTCAGCGGCCCAGTTGCGTCGCTTCTCGTCGATTCATTTTCCAATTGATCGACGACATGCTTTGCCATGGGATCCTGAAAGACGATGATTTGAGCAAGAAGGATATCATCGGCACGTCGAACAATGTTGGACTCATCCACTTGTTCGAGTTCAAGTGGCGCAGTCTCAGCTACATCCTTGACATCATGGCTGTTCAGGCAAAGCTGAAGGACCAGGATCGCGCGTTGCTGAAGGAGCACATGTCCGACCCTAAGACTGCCAGGGAGAACACCGTCGACAAGGTGAGCTGGCAGTCTTCTTTGTCGAAGTCGTCCCTGGAAGCCTTGACCTATGTCCAGGACGTGGTCTTTCTGAAGACTTATGACAACTTGATCAAGCAGGCCATGAAGCCCAACTCCCACCCGGAGATCCTGACTGAGCTTGAGACAGTGCAGGAACTCTGGAAGCAAGTCTGCAGCTTCAGAGAGAACGAGCTTGCAGAAGAAAAGGCTGCTCTGAAAGCCTTGGAAAGCAAAAGTGAAGAGGAAGAGGATGAGGAACCAGAAGCGCAAGGCCAGAACAGCCTGTTGAAGATGGCCCGGAAGACTCCTAACAGTCTGCCGCAAGGGTCGCCCCAGTACTGGAAAGCAGTTGCAAACCAAACTGTCCGAATGTATTGCTGCTTTGTGCCAGAGAGCACCAGCGCGGCAAACATGGTGACAGCCATGGAGCAGATGAACCTGACGACTGGGGAAGTTGGGAAGTCGTGCACCCTGGTGCACTTGGACACAAGCTTGTTGGGTGAGAGCACTGGCCCAGACTGCCAAGAAGGCTTGAGAAAAGTGTGGCACCCTGACGAGGCGATCGTGCAGAAGCTGCTCGGCTCCACACTTGTGGCCCTGGGCGCTCAGCAGGACAAGAACGGGAAGTGCACCTCACCTGGTGAGGGAACTGTGGCTGCGGTGCTTGACCCTCTCGGGGTGATGCCAAAGACTTTCATGAAAGACTCTTGCTGCCAGACGGTGTGGATTTGCTTCAATGAGGCCATCATAATTTCCACATGTGGACTCCTTTCTCATATACATGATAATTAATGATGTACAATATTCTTGTCATCAAAGGACAAAAAATCAGCTGATATTCTCACTGTTTGATGGTCCTGCGATTGCCAGCTCATCTAAGTACACATTTCGCCTTGCAGGAAAGCATCCGCGCGCGAAAGAAGAAAGTCCGAAGCCACAGCTACAGTCAGCGTTTGGAGCTCGCACTCTACTCTGAAAAGTCTTTGGGTGTGATCCTGCCGGAGAAGCCCAGACAGGTGTACTCTGGTTGGTCCTCTGGAGATGCCATCGCCTTTGTCACAGCGATGCCGGTCTCCCAGCTGTGGAGGATGAGCAGGACACAAGTTCCGCTAGGCTAAAGAATTTAGCTGAGTCATCCTGATAATACTTTTCATGACGACGTTAAAGGATTTTGTACCAGTTTAGAAGCACTTCCGACATTTCATGCACGGGCCCCCCTTTATTATAATTAATCCTCGGCTCGCAGGAAGGAGAAGGTTGACCTGCTCAGTGCCAAGAGGATCGTCACGGTGGATGGCAAGGACGCTTCTGCCTTGGAAGAGCAAGAGACTTGCTTCAGCTGCAGCCTGGCCCCTTCGGAGTTCTACACGGAGTTGATTCATTCATATTGCGCCAGCAATGTGATTGATGCCTCCCCTGCGCAGGGAGAGTTCATGAAGGCTTGCTTGTCCAGCCGGACGAAGGCAGTGGCGATCTGTGGAACTGAAAGCCACTGTGCTCGTCTTGAACTGCTGCTGACAGACTTCGTGCTGAGCGAACTGTCCCGCGAAGGGTCCACGTTCTATCGCCCTGACGCCATGAGCAAAGACGAGGAGGACACCCACGAAGGAAAGGGAGGCGCAGGGACGAAAGCTGTCCCCAAAAAGGGGCCGAAAAAAAAGGCAGGACAAGGCGAAGAGCTTGAGCCCAAGCCCAAGAAGAACAAGAAACCGAAGAAGCGTGAGGCCGACGAAAAGGACGAAGAAGCTGCCGAAGAAATCAAGCAGCCCAAGGCGAAGAAGCCCAAGAAGGAGGCCAAGGACGAGGACGAAGAGGATGGCGACGAGTCATCTGAGCTTTGGTGAAGAGCGCCCAAGGCGATTCGCTGGGGTGTCGTGGCTTTCAGTGTGAACACTGAATCATTGCTCGACCAACTTTTGAACAGCCCAACTGTGGCTCTAGAAGTGGCAGGATTGCAGCTTTGGCTACTGTGAAGCCATTGAACCATTCCATCCGTGCAGCCCTGCTCGAAACCTGGGAAAACATGTGACAAGCGTTTGTTCAGTTGTGTCACTGTTGGCTTCTACTTCTTACGGCCGCTTTGGGGGGTCAGCCATGTCACTCCTGCAGCACCTGCAGCACTAAATGGCCCAAACTCGACTCCAACCGTCTGCGTGTTTTTGCCGCCCCATGGCTGCTGCTGATTCGCCTGCGCAAATGGCGCGGGATTTGGCTTCCCTCTCCGAAATCAGGGCGCTGGTGGTGCAAAGCCTTTGCCTCCTGGACGATGCGGATGACAGCATCAAGGAGGAGCCCCGCCTGTTACAGAAGATTGGCCTGCAAGAAGGTCAGATGGAGCAAGTAGCTGCTCAACTCAGGACGCTTTTGGACCAAGTAAGCCGGGCAAAGGATGCAGCCCTGAACGCCTTGACTGCACACGGTGCTACACCTGCTCCTGAAGCAGCCACGGCTGAGACAACTGAGAGCGCTGCACGTCTGACTGCTGAGGGCGCCGGGTCTGAGACTGCCACTGAGCAGTGAAGGGGAATGATTTGGAATCATCCCTGATATTTTTTCAAAGGAAAAATGTCTCCCTAGGGTGGGCCAACCATTCTTCGCCTCATGGATGTTTCAAGGGCTATGTATATCTACAAAATTTATTTGCATATATATATATATAACATATAGTATAAAATAAAATAAAAGTGTAGTATAATATAATATATAATATAATATAGTGTAGTATAATTTAATATATATATATATATATATGTATGTATGTATGTAATGTATGTATGTATGTATGTATGTATGTATGTATGTATGTATGTATGTATGTATGTATGTATGTATGTATGTATGTATGTATGTATGTATGTATGTATGTATGTATGTATGTATGTATGTATGTGTATGTATGTATGTATGTATGTATGTATGTATGTATGTATGTATGTAATGTGTGTTGATGTATGTATGTATGTATTGTGTATGTATGTATGTAATGTATGTTGTATGTATGTATGTATGTATGTATGTATGTATGTGTGTGTATGTATGTGTGTATGTATGTGTGTATGTATGTATGTATGTATGTATGTATGTATGTATGTATGTATGTATGTATGTATGTATGTATGTATGTATGTAATGTAAGTATGTATGTATGTATGTATGTATGTATGTATGTATGTATGTATGTATGTATGTATGTATGTATGTATGTATGTATGTATGTATTGTTTTTCATCTATGCATATATTATAAATGATTATTATAAGCTTGAAACCAAAACTTACATAATCTTGATTAAGTTTAATGATGATTTTCCACATTTAGTGATTTAGTGACATTAAGAGCTACACAGATGATGCCAAACAGACCGACATAGGAATTGTCAAGGATCAATAGCCTTGGACTCATGCAGGCACGTCCGTTTGAGGTGCATGGCGCCAATGCTGTTAAACTTCCAATGCAATGATATGGAAAGACTAAGGGCACCAGGGCACCACACAAACATCAGCAAGAAGGGAAGCTGGGAAGCTGGGAAGCCGAAGCAGGCTTTGAAAGGGAAGCTGGGAGGCCGAAGCGGGCTTTGAACGGGAAGCTGGGAAGCCGAAGCGGGCTTTGGAAGGAAAGCTGGGAAGCCGAAGTGGGCTTTCAAATGGGAAGCCGAAGTGGGCATGGAAATGGGAAGCCGAAGCGGGCTTTGAAAGGGAAGCTGGGAAGCCGAAGCGGGCTTTGAAAGGGAAGCTGGGAAGCCGAAGCGGGCTTTGAAAGGGAAGCTGGGAAGCCGAAGCGGGCTTTGAAAGGGAAGCTGGGAAGCCGAAGCGGGCTTTGAAAGGGAAGCTGGGAAGCCGCAACTTTTTTTCATTTCCACGCATTTTCATCCATTTCTTCCTCTGGGAAGCTGCCGAAGCGGGCTTTGAAAGGGAAGCTGGGAAGCCGAAGCGGGCTTTGAAAGGGAAGCTGGGAAGCCGAAGCGGGCTTTGAAAGGGAAGCTGGGAAGCCGAAGCGGGCTTTGAAAGGGAAGCTGGAA